GCTCTATTTTGGAAGTTCAGTTATGCTAGAAATGTGTTTTGGAGTTTGTACATGTTTTGTCTCTAGGGGCCACCGCATATATTTATATATAAACATATATAAATAAAACCACTTTTTTTTACATTAGTAATTCCTTTTGTGCATAATTTTATATTATTTTAAGTAATAAATTAATTAAAGCAACAAAACAACCTGAAGAGCCGGTTCGGAGCCGAAAGAGCCGGTTCTCTAAAAAGAGCCGGAAATCCCATCACTACTGCTCAGGACAATATGCTGGGGCCTATGCTACCTTCAGCTGCACCGACTACAGGGGCCTGGCTAGCTACGGGTTGTTCAAAGCTGCGACATCGAGTCTCCAATTCATTAATCCTCCAGAGCTGCAAATAGGCTACATTTATTAAAAGTATCAATTTTACTAAAGGAGGCTGAGGAGTAACTAGACGTCTCACACACTGAGCAGGAAAGTGCAGGAGGTACAGGTGAAGAATCCATGCTGCTACTGAGTCAGCTACGAGTCAAGCTAGCAAATCCCTAAAGACATAGTCAGTGAATACTGTGACTATATTTAGCGAGTGAATCAACAGAGTGCTTCAAGTTAGGGCATGTGAAAATTATACTATGAAATAAGACGTTAGATATAAGTTTTTAATTAAACTGGCTACACAGATAAGTTACACAAAAACACCACTGTGTCGTAACAGCAACAAAAAATGATACTCCAACACCAAGTGAGAGCACCACCCAGAATGTGAATATGATGCCATTAACGTTTAAAAATTAAAAATAAAGCAGAGTGAGATTTACCATGAGAGTGTTATTTCAAGAGCCTGTGAGCATGCTCAGGTTTAAAAAGACATCAAGATATTGATGTGAGCTTGGGGCATCATGTGAGAGTTCATAAACAAATCAGTCACAACAGCAATGTTCATATTTTATAATATACAGTATATTTTTGTGACTTTAGTTTTTTAACATTAGGTTAGGAGCTGACAGCTTTTTTTCAGCATGCACATCGTCTCTACTGAAGCCAAATCTTTTTTTTATGTTCATGTTTTCATAATTTAGCTTTCAGCCTTTCCTCCCAGACCACATCCTTAGTGTTCAGTCTAAGCACATATTCATACTTTGATCTTCAAACTTCTTTGAAGAATTATATCCCACTCACCACGATGCACACAGATCTCTGAAGAAATCCGATGCCACTTTTCCATCTGTGTGGCTACACAGTGATAACAGCCAGGCTCAGTTACAGTAGTCTGGACCATGACGTGGAAGCGACCTTGTTGTTCTTCATCTTGCACAGTCTTAGTAGGAAGTGTTTTGTTGTCACTGTCCCTCCACTCAACTGTGGGTTTAGGAGAAGCACCTGGAACCTTACACTGCAGCAGCCCCTTTTCTTTAAGTATTGTGACATAAGGCTCTGGAGCTGCACCTGTGAGCACATCACAGACAACAAACAACTAGTTTACATAGCCACAATCAATTATTTAAATACATCCTCATATTAACAATAATACATGACATGTTACGGCATGTTATTATTTATTTAACAAAAACTAAACCAAAATGCAGAAAACAGTATGTAAAAATATTAAGTATACCCTTACTGTTTCCAGAGGAATTCATTTCAGTTACATTTTATTTACATAGCACAAAATTACACAAACAGTCACCTAAGGCGCTAAGCTAGAGATGCTACAATAATGCAGAGAAACCCCTAGTAATTAGACAACCCCCTATGAGCAAGTACTTGACCACAGTGGGAAAGAAAAACTCCCATTTAACAAAGACAAACCTCTAGCAGAACCGAGCTCACCCCGTGACTGAGTCTGCACACCTCAATTAAAGCACAGATTTTGTTGGGTCTTCTGGTCTGGAGCACTCAGATGTGTGTTAACACAATGCCAAGGAGGAAAAGATTTCCCTTAATAATGAGCACCTTGATTTAGAAACTGGACTTTGTGTTTACTTATGTTATCTTTGTCTAATATCTTCATTTGTTTGATCTGAAACATTTAACTGGGACAATCATACAAAAAAGCTGTAATTATAATGCAAGCATCCCAAACACAGCAGCAAATTTATAACATAATGGCTGGAAAACAAAAGAATCGTGCTGGTTAATGTGGGACCTTAAGAGTGCTGTGCATAAATAAATGCCCACAAATCTCAATGAAATGAAGCAATTCTGTAAAGAAAAGTGGGCTAAAATTCATCCAATGATGTGACAGCCTGATAAAGTCAGACAAAAAAAAAAAAAGATTACTTCAAATTATTTCTGCTGAAGGTGGTTCTACAAGCTGCTGAATCATGCTGTATGCTTAGTTTTTCACATGCTGCTGCTGCATTTTGGCTCAAGTAAAAAAAAATTTAAAAAAAATGGACAGTTGAATATGTTGCTTAGATTGTTATTCATCTCAGGTTGTATTTACCTAATTTTAAAACCTGCTAAGGACAGAAGGATGTTTGCTGTTGTTACACAAACCTTTTAAACCTTTCATTTGGCTTCTAAAGACAAATGAAAAACGACAACAGCAACAACAGCAAAATAAAACTAGAACAAGTGTCTTAAAAGACAATTAGAGACAATTAAAAACAATTAAAAAAATTATAATCCCCATATGTCTAGCACACCAACATTGTAGCATAAATTTTTTTATGTGCGGATAAAAACAATATCATAAACATTTTGCTTTAACCGTGGACTGTTTATAAAGATAATCTTTAGACCTTTTATATAGTTCTCACCAAAACAAGTGCCTGTTTGTCTTTTCCTACTACTTACACGTTCACATAAAAACAAACGAGCATGTTAACATCAGTATCGGCACAAACAGGACTCACCTGGAAAGTTTCGGATCTTTAACCTTTTGAAACGCAGAGGTTGTATGCGACCTAATTTTACATGTAAAATTAATAAATGAAGATACGTGATATTCTCCTGTTGAACGGAAACAAAGATACAGTCGTAAAACACGTCGTTTGAAAGCTCAGATATTCTTTTTTCAGCAGATTAATGAATGTCAAAAAAATAATTTACGACATAAAAACACTTACGTCTTTATTTACGTCAGTAAATAGTTAATAACGTTAAGGTTAGCATGTTGCATCACCATTAGAAAGTCGTTAATCGGACCAAAAATAGACATTTAAAGACAAATATGAGCTCGTTTTAACGAAGAAAACTCACAGATTAACTTCCGCTCGTTTAAATTCAACCGGGAGTAAAGACTTCCAGAAAAAAGAGAATTTATTCTCTTGTAAAGTTTTATCGGAGTTACAGAAACTTTTAAAATAAGAAGATTAAAAGCAATTTAAAAGCGTTGACGACTAATTTGTAATAATTATTGTAACGTCTCTGATATCAGGAAACACCCACGAGCAAAATTAATCAATCAGCATCGATTGCGGACATAATATAACGACCTCACGACACCATTAATTCAGTCAGCCAATCAGAAAAGAACATCATTACGACAGCTACGTGGGTGTTTGATTGACAGCTACTCTCATCCAGTAGAAAGTCACCGCAGTGAAACCACTCTCTGTTTGAAGCCGGGAAAATCACCTGTCTGACCATATATGGAAGGTAAAGTAGTTGGCTTCGCTGTTACGATGGAACGAAAACAAATCAAAGAAAACTATTTAATTTGTCAAAAAAGACCCGATTAAAGTATAATAAATGTGTGAATCCTTGTTTTAATTATTTAGGACATCATTTTGAAGTTGAGTTTAGCATCTAGGAACCCGTGAAATATAAAAAAACCTGAATGAATCCTTATTATTTGTTAACTTTGAAGAGATTTTTGTGGAGTTTAGAAATAACTTGTCATAGATTCTCTGCTTTGCAATTTGAATTAATATGTTTAATATCTTTAAATTAATTCAGAATATCAGCATGAAACTTGGCACATTTATTGTAGATTTAAAAAAGATGATATCCTGTAAATTTCAGCCTTCTAGCCCTTATAATGACCGATTACCTGTCTTTAACATCTGAAGTAAAAGCTTAAAAACATCAAGGCTTCAGTGATTTCCTGTATAATCCTCTAACAAATGATCCGTGTCAGAGCTAAAGGTAAAACTAACAGACTACATTAAAGATCACAGATTTTACTTCACATTGTTGAAACAGGCAGGTATCAGATATTTATGGTTTAGAAATTATTAAAAAGTTTATTCTGGTAGTTCCAGACATGCAGAAGTGCACATGACTGTGAGAGGCTCTAACAAGTTAATACAGGCTCTGAAAAGGAAAAAGAAACAGGTTAGTAGTGGTAGGTTCTCATTAAGTTGGCAGTATAATAAATGCAGTGTTTATAGCTGCATTCACAGAGATTTTATTTTTTTAGGGCACCTCAGATTTTTGATATGGCGCAGGTGCAGGAGAAGCATGCATATGGGAAGGTCTCAGTCTTTTTCACCAAATATTGCAAATATCACTGCAGATGTGCTGTAGGAGTGAGGCCCTGCCAGATGTGCATGCTGACTGTTTCATCTGTAAATAATCAGCTGGTTCATAACAGCACTCACCAACAACAAGCTCAATGCGGGAGATTTTTTCACTGGGCTTTATTTCTGGGAATATACAGGTATAGGTTCCTTTGTCCTCCAGCCTAGTTTGTTTTAGTCTTATGGAGGCGTTTCCGTACTTCAGCTCTTCTGGATAATGTGAGACTCGACCTTTGAACTCCACATCTTGACCTGGCAGACCATTATTGTAATGACTGCGATTACGATACATGAACACCTCCTTTCGAGGGACTTCCTTAACCCAGTCAAACAGCATTGACTCAATGTTCTCATTGGTGTCGAGGGAACAGGGTAAAATAACATCATCATCTTCTCGCACAGTCACTCTGGCCACAGGTGTCTCTGAAAGACAAAGTATGTTTTAAACAGGGATAAGGATGGAAGAAAAGTCAGGTATGAGGCAGGGGCAGCCAATCAGAAGAGAATTGGCTTAAAGCTCAACGTTTTTATTTCAGAAACTAAAAAACAGTTCAAACTCGATTTGTAGCTTTCACGAAGATTAAAAACATATAAACATCACAATGCATTCACAATTAAAACCCTTCTTTATTTTTTCCTACAACAAGAATTCATATTTATTTAGTTTAGTCACCCTTCATATTTTCCTGTTATCATCACAGTCCCACCTGTAGCGCCACAGTTTGTATGACTGATTTAAATAGAAGCTGAAGGAGCTGAAGAGCTTGTTACAGAGAGGACTAACTCAGAGGCTGCACCAAGGCCCAGACTGGGATAAACTGTTCCAGTAGTGTCCAAGAATAAAACATGGAGCTGGAAATGAGTATAATTGCTCATCTTTACTGCATGTATTAAATTTCTGTTTACAGAAGTCAGAGGGTGAGGTCCATTAAAGAGGATTCTCTCTGAATATTTATTTCTGCTAATATGACTGCGTCCACATGAAATGCTCCTCCATCCTACCAACACACAGCTCCACCTGAGTAACATGTGATGACACTGTATTTATTTTTTTCTGTAAATAGAAATATCAGCTTATTCATGATTAATTTTCTAATCTTAGAAATATTCTGAATCCTCAGCAGCTTTATAACTGTAACAGTTTTCTATAACATTACAGCTGACAGCAGCCCTGACATGTCTGTGAGCTGCTGCTTGGTTTTTAGCGTCCTCAGAAGGATTCCAGTTTAAAATTTAAGGCCCCATCAAATACTGCAAGTTACTACAAAGCTGTGTGGAAAGATTGTGAACTAATTTCTGGTTTGGGGCAAAGATCTTCACATGATTAAGGAGGATAGCGGGGAATTTATCAACCTCTTAATATCCAGCAGGTCACCAGTGAACCACATGTGTTAGTGTTAGGTGTAGACTGGCTTTTAACTACATGCTAAACAAGCAGGGTTTCAGAAAGTAGAAGATGTTGCCTCTCAGTTCAAGTGTCTCATGTGCATTTTGGTCTTGCAGTTCTTCTGGGATGATATTTCTATTAAAGTGTGGCAAATGAACAAAAAAAATCATATAAAGAGGTAGAAGTGAACATAATCCTGCCCCCAACCAGCTCACCAGGACCAGGTGGCTCATCAGAGGTTATCACACATTCAGGCAGCAACAGTGTCAACACTGTGAGGCCAAACATTTTTCACTGATAAAGTTTTGAAACACATCCAGTCTGTGTCCCTTTCACCAGCTGAGCTCTCAAAAATCTGCCAGTTTGAAGCTGCACATCAGAGTCAGTAACAGCCTCATGTTAATGGGTCACACAGTGTTTTAACTCTGACTGTAAAAACCTCAGGAAATGGAAACAGGGTACAGCCACTCTCCATCCTTTTGGGGCCTGGCTGTGCCACTCCCTTTAAAACTGGCAGCAGGTGGAGCTGTAGTAACACATACGAGGAAAAATGAACTTTATATACTTGCCTACTTATGTGTTTATGGATGACTTCTGTCCTCCTTTTACTAATTAAGGATAATAATAATAATTCTATGTCATTGTTGATGTATCTGAATCTCAATTGTTTCAGTTTGTAAAGAAAAAATAAAACACGTGTGTTTGCAGGAAACACAAACCGCTAACAAACACGCCACACCTGAAAAAAGTCAGGGTGAAATAATGAGATAATCTGATCGTAAAAAATAAAAAGAACATTTTCATACTGTTGTAGAATTGCTGCACATTTATCTGCTCATTATTTCAACATCAAAATGCGGCTGCGTTAAACGCTGATGACACAGGTGTTGATGCCGCAGTCATCCACCCGCTACAGCAGCAGCATGAGCAGCGTTAAAGCTCCATCCGCTGCTGTGAAACATGACTGCGCCTGCACACATGATCACTCTAAATCAATGAGCTTCTTACCGGATTCAGCACCAAACGTCCGTCCGGACAAAGTCAGGAAACAGAAGCTCAGAAACAGAAGTGCTAGAAGCTCCATGTCTGCAGAAACCCTCTGAGGATCAAATACGGCAACTATTCTGTGTAACCAAGATCCGAGTCACCCCTCTCCTCTCAGCACTGACGCAGTACAAAAACAGTTTCAGTTTCTAGTGTCTTAAAGCAGTCCGCCATATCTGCCATAATTTCCGGTGTATTACGTCACAGCGTCATGGACTTTTAGATTTCACTTTTATAATATCAGTGACAGTTGTACAGAAACAGTGACAGGAGGAAGATTAATGAGCAGAGTCTGTTTATAGAAACAGATACAGGCTGATGTAAGAGAGGAGAGGAGCATCTCCCACTGCAGCCTTTATGGTCAAAGCCAGCTGCAGCTTTTGACTCTCGAAGATTACTAAAATCAAATAAATAGTTAAGCGTTACTATATTACCTTTGTTGGTTGTTTTTTTCCCCTACATCTGTATGAAATCTACATAAAACAAAGAAAAAACGATGGCAAGGTTAGCAGTTAGTAGGACTTACCTCTGACTACTTCAAAATAAAAATGTAAATAATTTAATCTAATTTTATATAATTTCCAAGGATTTTGAAAGTATGATGTTGTGGGGGTATGTAAGAGAGATCCCAATATTCTACTCCAACTTTTAATTCAGCACAATCAGCAACTATTTCATTAGGTACACCTGTTCTATTGGTCATCACAGTAAACATTCAAGGGACCAAAACCTAACCCTCTCACTTCCCCTAACACTGTGTGTGAGTGGAGCCACCTGGTGGTCCACCACAATGTGATTACCTACAAATACTTAGTGATACACTTGATTAACCAGGTCTTAATTCAAGTTTTTGTAAGAAAAAAAAATTATGAAGCTTATGAGTAAGTTCAATAAGGAAGATCTATGGTCTCACATCTGTCTGCTCCCAGCTGCTGGCTAAATCTAAGCTTCACGCCACTTCCACTTTCCCACGCTGTCAGGCTGCCAGCCACACATAACGTCACACTACGAGTCATCAATAACAAGAGCCAAACAGGTAGCACTACATCTAATCAATATTTTTAAATTTTTCTCAGTCACTTTGGCTCAATTCTCACAGCAGGAAATTCACCACTCATCATTTTTCATAACACCGTCTCACCTGTGCAAAACACACTCCACCAATCAAAACCAGTCAATCACTCCAACTGTGTGATGAATGAATAAAACCTTTCATCAGACTTTAAAGAGTGAGTCATCAAAGTTTTTAGTTTTTGTTTCATGAACCCTCACTGCCTCTGGAAAGAGTTCTGCACACATGTCGGCCTCATGTAGAGTAAAAACCTTTCAGACACAAAAATGAGATGTGAAGGATTTTTTTATAACATGGAGGAAAGCAGAATGATGCTCATGAAACTATATGTATGAGAAAACAGACAAAGAAAATGATCTGAGAACATCAACAACAACTGTACAGTCCAGTAAAGTCACACTTACATGCATTCAGCAACCATTTTATTAGGTACACCTGTTCCACTGGTCATCACAGTAATCCAAATCTCTAAGTGACCTTTCACCTCAGCAGCAACTCAAAACATTCAGACATGTAGACATGATCACCACAGCCTGCTGGAGTCCAAACGAGCATCAGAATAAGGAAGAAAGATGACTGATTGTGGTGTGGTTGTTGATGTCAGACGGGCTGGTGTGAGTATTTCAGACACTGTTGAT